GGCTATTAGAAAAATAGGTGTTCGACTTTCGCCAAGTACTTTCGAAATGGACGAAAATCCTGGGTATTTTCCCTGGAAAAATATTTTTCCCTGAAAGTACTTGGCCAAAGACGAACACCTATTTTTCTAATAGCCCGCGTCGAGTACATGCGAAATATATGTCATCCCACGTCCTGTAATCCCATAGAATGGTGCAGCACGTACTCAAACGTTGAAAAACGAGGAAAATCGGCTTTAAAAGCTGTTTTTTTCTATCAATAAACGTTTTCTATTCGCAATGCGAATCACTTCACCAGATAGAACGTGAAAAGGCGCGTAGTAGTAGTTTATTGCTATATTCCTGCACCTTTAAAAAATAATATACAATACATTATTTTCGTATCTCTACTGGACGAACCTCGGCCCTGGTAGTGAGAAAAAAAAAACCATATAGAAAAATAAAAAATTTTTTTGACACAAAATTTAATAGCGTTTGCAATATCACACAAAAGACATACATTTACTGGAAGCCCAAGACATAGTCAAATAACGACAGACGATCTTTAGTTAAAATATTCACAATATTTTTACGCGGATGACCTTTCCCAAAAATCTGTCTTTTTTCCTTAAGAAGAGACGGATTTGTACAATATTCATGTAGATACAACATAAACATTTTGTGTTGACAATAGTCAGAGATGACAGAGGGGTTTGTTTTAAACATAGTAGAAATAAGATTGTTCCAATGCTCAATTGCGAGACTATCAATCGATTTGTATCCCTGACAGTTCTCGATTTCAATGTTACGGGCATCGTGCCATTGATGTATAATTCGATGAATCTGTCTATTCATTGCTTCAAGTTGTGCTTGTTTACTTTTTGGTAAAATCGGATAAATATTTAAAATTGATTGATAGTGAGGTCGAATATAGGCATTAAAAAGCCTGTATCTTACCTCCTCGATGTTTTTTGACGAATATTTTAAAGAAGTGAATGTTATAAAAGAACGCCTTAACAAAATGGATAGGTCCTCTCGTTTGTGTGTTAACAGATTATGTCTATAGGCGAAACATACGAATGTCAAACAATTATTGCAACAACCATATAACCATTTGGTTCGATACTTGGAAAATGTGAAAACTATTGATAATCAAGGGATAAATTAATCAGAAACAATATCGAATATTCAACATTTTCCAACTATGTCATGAACCCAAATGCTCCAGAATTTGTTTCATATCAAAGAAGTGATTATAACATTCCAGTTGGTGATTTATCAAAAAAACAAATAAAAATTCTAAAGAAGCTTTTGTTCGAATGGAGTAATGCCATGACATTAGAGACATTATTGAAAGGTTGGGAAGTGCACCAAAAACGAACTTACGTAATGGCAGGTGAAAAATCTGAAATTTCCTTTCTCTTAGTAAATGTGGATAGTCTAAATGCTCATCTTTATGATGTTTTTTGAACTGCTAACTTTTACGCACGCCTCGATTATTATTTTGAATGGTACACATCATGATGAAACGACTACTGCATGTTTTCGTAGGCACTTTAAGAATTTTGTTGTATACGCACAAAGCGGTTTAAATGCTTTTGGCGGAGTTTTAGTGGCGGTGCATCGCTCTATTCCCTCAAGTCGTGTTATAATTTTTCAAAATACTGCCGATCTCTTGATTATAGATGTAGGTACATCTTCAGAACAGTTTCAGCTTGCCACGTGTTATTCACCTCCTTTGAAGCAAATTCCTTTTTCTCTTCTTGATAAAATCTTCCATCGAAACGAAAATACTGTTCTATGTGGTGACTTTAACGCAAAACATTTTTCAGGATCAAATTCTTTAGAAAATCAAAAGGGAAAGGCATTATATAATTGGATGTCAAATGGTACATATTCCCTCGAGATTATTAACAAATTTGTGCCTACATCTACGCGCTCAAATGCTACGATCGACCTTATCATTGTACCTAGTTGGTTTATGTCACCTACTTTTTCCGTTCTTCCATCTATAGGTAGTGACCATTATCCGGTTTTCTGGTCATCTACTTTAAAGTTGGTAACTAAGGACTGTGTTCACTCGGTTAAACGTACATATTGGAAAGTTTTTCAACTGTTTTTAGTGTTTACGTCAATGTTTTGGAAGGATTTATGTAAAAATACGGCAGATAAGACGGATTTTTTTCGAATGTACGAACGATTTCTGGCTCTAGCTTCAGCGCGTGTAACTTTTGTCCACTACTGTGACTCTTATAGACCATCGTTACCTCCGTATCTGGCTGAGCTAATTAAAAGTAAAAGACAGTGTCTAAGACTTGTTCGTAAAACTCGGCACCCTTATTTTGTGAACGCACTACACACATATACAAAAACAATACGGAGAGAGATTTTTGTCTATAAGACACAATCGTGGAAAAATTATTGTAAAACACTAAACCAATACGACGTATCCTCGTTTTGGAAAAAATATAAAATGTCATTTTGGGGAGCGTGCCCCACCGATTCTTAGTTTCTCTTCTAATAACCACGTGATTTCTTCTCCTAGTAAAATGTGTAAAATAGCAAAGCAGTTTTATAATGAACAGTTTTCTGAACATTTAAGTACTTTCTCTTCTATTGAAATGGAAGCGGACAAAGTGGATGCAGAAATTAGCGATGAAATTAAAAATTCTTCTTTACAATGGCTTTTTGTTTCATATAAGCACATAAAAAATGCGATCTCATCCTTAGAGAACAAAAATTCATCCGGATTGGATGGCGTATCAAATCGTATATTAAAACGATTGCCACCTTGTCATCTCCCAATAATTTTTACTTGTTTTAATGGGTTTGTCCCTACTGTGGGTACTCCTTCACACTGGCAAATCGCTAAAATGATTTTATTGTCAAAAACTAAATGCAGTACTGTTAGTGTCGAAGATACACGCCCTATATCTTTACTACCATGTTTTTCTAAATTGTATGAAAAATGTTTTCTTGTTCATTTTCGTAAATGGATTCAAGATGCCGGTATACTTCCCGATGAACAGACTGGTTTTAGACAGGGTCATAATATGGCAGTGCGAATCGTATCAATTATTGATCAGATCGGTCAAAGTTTAAATCAAAATACCGCTGCAGCAGCATTATTTGTCGATTTTAAAGCGGCGTTTAATCAACTATGGTACAAAGGTTTATGGCTCAAACTTCGTGGGCTGGGCTGTCCTTTGCACCTACTGGCTAGGTTACGTTCTTATCTAAAGAATCGAACTGCTTATATTGAGATCAAAGGTATGAAATCAGTTCTATTCTTTTTGTTCAAGGGAGTTCCGCAAGGTAGTTGTGTTGGACCAGTTCTTTTTATTGTCTATCATTACGATATTTTAAACGCAGTTTCAGCCCTTCATTGTAAGCATCTGTTTGCGGATGACCTTTCCATTTTGGTGTGTCCTTCACCCTTCTGTTCACCAAGCACCTTGATACCTATGCTCAGGAAACAAATAGAAGATGCTCTTAAATCGTTAATTACATATTCCGCTACCTGGAAACAACCAATAAACTTTGTTAAAACTTTTTGGACACTTTTTCATTGCCAGGTAGCTCCACAAAATATTGGTCCAATAGTATGTGAGGGTCATCAAATAGCAAAAGGCGCGTCGAATGCATATCTTGTTGTCTTTTGTTGATATGATTTTATGGGGGAAAAGTGGTTTACAAAAACGGCCTACTTTTCGGAAAAAAGGAGAGTTTTAAATATTTTCCTGAGAACGTGGTTAACATTTCAGAACTTTTTGTCCGCTAGTGATTTTGTAGCTCTGCACATATAGAAGCTGATCTGACGGTACCAGCTCATGAAAGTGTTTCACTAAAAAATGGCGAAAATGCCCACAATAGGACGATTCTGCTGGGAAATGAGATTTCCACAGGTCAAGAAGGCCACCCTGCCATTGCTTTAAAATTTTTTAAACGTGATATTCGTTACCAGGAGGCCGAGTTGTACTAGTCCTGTTACTCTCAAACAATTCGGACAAGATCGATGTAAATGTGGTACGTTCTCGAAAGAACAACCCTTCTTCGTTTCTGTAAAAGCATAACCGAAGAATAATTTAAAAATCGCACAATTAATTTATCAACTCCTACTCTAAGAACGTCGCTATAGGTAATAGATGGTGTCTGTGAACAATGCAGATTTTGTGATTTCTAGTAAAAGTTTCATAAATATTGATCGAGCCATCGTTAAGAGCTGCTCGGCGACTCTGTATAATTAAAATTGTTCGTTCTGTAAACTGACTAGAGAAGCACTTTTACAAATCATTTTCTTTTAAGATTTTTGGAAACATTTTTGAAGACCTTCAATAACTCTGATGTTTCCTCAAAACACACATCTTCATAGATAAGTTTTGATATTGATCACGGATCTAATGTCCGCTCTGATATCTGGACTCTTTTGTTGAATAAGTTTGTGGAAATCCGGTCTCTGCATACTCATCTCGAATATTCAGACCAAGGGATTCTGATACAATCATTACAGAGAGCACCTTCAGTAGCTTGCGAAAAACTTTTTTGAAAACTAATAAGCAAGTTTTGAAGGAGTTATAAAATTGAAATTGTTGAAAACTCCGCTACATATTTAGGTAGTTTTGTCTACTTTGTTGTATTAGTTTCTTACAATGTAAACGGTGACTAGTTCAAAAAAAGTAGCACTATTCATTAGTCGTCATCGGGTGATTCAATCCCGATTTGTCGACACGCTAATTGATTTTTCTATTTCGTCAATATTTTATAGCATTGGTGGCTCACAAAAATCTTTCATCTCCTCCGAAAATGTTGTCAATAAGACAGAAAAAAATTAATGAGTAGACAAAACAGGAATACATCTGATCGGGTACGATACCAGAATGATTAAGGAATGGCGAAGAATACTATAGAAATTCTTTCTTTTTTTTGTTTGTTTTAATTAATTCAATTGTCTTTCATTTCAATTACTTGTATTGCATCATCAAAAATTGTTCTACTGATAATAATATACATAAACAAGTCGACACATTGTTGTATACACTAAGATTTGTTTCCTCATGAATGAACTTACAAAAAAAATGAAATATATCATGAAGAGAAAATAAAGGTGAAGAAAAAGAGAGAAGAAAAAAAAAGACGGGAGAGTAGTTTTTTGTATAGATGTTAATTTTAACCGGATGTACAGGTTCTTGCATTACGTTGGAACAACATTTAATAATAACAAGTTAACAATCATGCGTGCCTGCTTGCTTACCATTCTCCAAAAAAGGGAGTACAGTAAGAAGAAAAATATGTTGTTTTGTATTATATTGTTTCCATTTCTCTATACATACTTGAACGTAAAGATTTTTTTCTCAAGATTTTTGACAAAGTTATTATCACCATTAGATGTGAACGACTTAACTGTGCACTTTTAGAATATAAATAAATTATTATTAAAATCTAATGCTCATTTCGAATCCACTTCAACAGTTATGGTGTGTATTTTGAATAAAATAAAAGTTTCTTTTTTTTTTTAAACACAAGTGCTCAATATCGTTTACTCTAATGAAGAATATACTAGTCTTTTAGTTTTTTTTATGAAAAACTTATATTAGCTTCAACGACTCGACAATTCTAGACACAATGGTGAGTGATTTAGGTTTAACAATCTATTTTATAAAAACGAAATAAACAAGATCTATCTTAAAATGTATGTTAGTTATCTCATTACTGTTTCGAACTATTTTGTCTCTCTATCAATAATCATGAGTCTTACATAGAACTCGAGCATTGAACAATAATTTTATATCACTGGATGAAACATAATTCAAAATATTCGTCTAGAATTTTCAATTTATGGTAACATTTAAATATAAGCATGTGTATTTTACGTTATTTTATTTCATTATCGTAACTGGATAATCCTTTGGCTACCGATGTCCGATATATATATATAGGATGGCGATCTTTGCTTTGCTTACCGGTATCCGATTAAAATGATGCCTTGAAAATTTCACATTTTGATAGTGACATGTGGGAAACAAAATGTTTTCTTTAAAAAAAGTAAATAAAAAAATATCACAATATTCATTTAACTCGTAGTCTACTCACGAGTGATGAGTGTAAATTCTCGTTCATTGAACAGAGAAAAGAATAGAAGACAATATGTACAATCAAAAAATAAATTCATCAATGTACAATCGAAAGAGGCAATTGAACATAGTTCAGCCAGCAGTTTATGCATTGATATTTTGATATTTTTCTCAGCTCATTCTCCTAGAAAATGTTTAGAATTTTCAATATTTACTACATTTTTTCTAGTTACACATTGTTGCTTTCTTTCGATTATAAATAATTAGTATCACTTAAATATTGAGATTTTTCCTGTAAAGTATTAAAATAGTATTGAATAATTTTAATTTGCTCTTTGTTATTATCACTTTTACTATACGAAGAGTTAAATATAATAAATTTCTTATAAATGATTGAACTTTTTAAATCAAAAGTGCGATATTTTTCACTTTGTTGTGAAAATAGATAGAGATAGTTTGACATAAATATTAAATTATCAAACGAGCCGATGATTCGAAAATACTATTAGTAACGAAAATTACATCTGAACACCATTATACATGGTCATTTTTTCTCTTTCCTCTTGTATGTGTATACTTGGGAATTCAATTTTATAGGACAATTCCAAATATCAATGATCGATTCATTTTTGTTCTTTTTCTTCTCTTTTTTTTTCTTTTTTTAAAAGATTAAACAAAGAAAACAAAAGACGAGTAAAAATCGGAAAGTTATATATATATATATATATACTTACTCCTATAGAGTAGAACGATATCTGAAAAAAAAAGAGTACAGTACTCATCTGTAAAAATATATGAAAGAAACTCCTTAAGTACACATAGAAAGAAGAAGACAGAAAATATTGGGAAGAGAAAGAGAAAAATATACTGAGAAAAAGTAAATAAAATGTGAACGTCATTGTCAGTTTTTCCGGTCTATGATTGAACAATTATAAATCGCGGAGCAAAATAGCGTGTAGTGTTACATTATTCACCACACATGAATGGTTGAAATCAAGTGCTAGTACTAATAGTAGTGGTGAGTAAAAAACATTTTTCTTTATGTTTTTATTTCTATAACATGGCATTATATGAGCAATGCATGAATATTCTTAGTATCTAAATTCTAGATCAATAATTTTTGTATATTGAAGGTATGGTGCAGAGAAAACACATTGCTAATAAAAGATAAACATGATATTCATATAGTGAAAATCTTGTCATCTAAAGAAAATAATGAACAATGTGATTTTAAAAAAATGTTTAATACTCGGTAAAAAGAGAAAAAGTTCAATTCCTATTGCAGTATTCTAAATAATCTTACTTTTCTACAACATTGAAGAGTGCTTTAAAATTTAAAATAAAGATTTAAAGATTGAATAAAATCGTTGTATACTTAGTATCAAAGTTTAAAAGTGATATAAGGAGGAACAGTTATCAACTTATTGTTTGATGATAATGTAACTGATAGTAGTAGCAGGGCAGTCATTTCAATTGAATTATAGTGATGTAGAATAGAATGAGAGAAAGAGAGTCTTTTGTTGAAAATTGTAATAAATCAATTACATGTATGGTTGATCATATAATTGCCCGATAGGCATCATTCATTCATTTATATTTTCTTTTTCATTTAATAATCAATCTCTTCATTTTATGTGAAATTTTTCTTTTTTGTATGGGTATGTGTCTCAAGTACGAGCAGATTAATTTAGTTTTAACAAAAAAAAAAAGAGAACAATTACTAAACTGATGGTCATTTTTAACAAGAGAACTACTAATTGAACCTCAGAATTGATATTAAAAGTCAAGTTCTCTATTCCACTTGCTTACTATATCATTCGGACAATTACAAATAACTTTTTACTTCATTAAGAATGAAAAATTACAGTAGACGTAGTTGGATTTTAAGAAGACTTATCTCTTTTCTCCGATTTAGTGGCATATCACTATGTGGTTAAGGTAAGATTAAAGAGTAGGCTCCAAGAGCAAAAGGAATTCTTATATGAGATATTTCTACGTCTCCGATTAATGTCACATAATTTTAAAGAAGTAAAATGACATAAGCTGAATCTAAAGCAATGACCTTAAGGAGTGATATTTAATAATGGATAATTACTTTAATGATGAACGTGACTATCAAGGTTAAACTTGTAGATAATGTTGAATAAAAACAAATAAGACACTAGTCATTTGTTTTCACTAATATACTGTTTATATAGACGATTATACATGTTCTCTTTTGTTTTTTTTCTCACTTATTAAGATAAAAATATTCTATGTACTGGTGCTGTTGTCTTTAATATTGTTTTCAAAACATTTATCTAATGATCATAAAGAAGTTTTCCTAAAACATCTTGTTCGAATATTGTTGAAATAGAACAAAAAGACGTTATAGATCATTGACAATTGTCTCATGATATGCTCTCTTGAGTAAATGAATAGAATGAAATAAAATTTGTTTAAGCACGCACACACAACCAAAGAAAAGCCGAAAATCTCTTGAGCGTTCTTCTTCTTCTTCTTTTCTTCTATAATGATGATCAAATCGAATGTTGATTCTTTGTTCTCTTATTTTCCTATATGTGTTTTATTTTTTTTTATAAATATTACGTCATTTTTTTTTCTTTTTTCATTCAAAAGGAATAAAATTAAAAGAATAATTGTCTTCCCTAGCACATCTTTTCTCATTATCTACCAAAAATGTTAACAAGATGAAACTGAAGTTTAAATTTTAAGTGAAACAAATTATTTATGAAGTACATGAGTTAATGCATAAATCTTAGATAATGTATTGACACTTGAACAGTTGAATCAAAGTGCAGAGAAGTAAATTGAATATTAAAGTTTGAAAGTATTATTGAAACCAGTCTATAATTTTCTCTTAGAAAAAATTATAGCACAAATAGTGGTCGACTATCGAAAGAGAGATAGG